CTCCATATGCGAGCTCTTTTACAACCTGAAGGTTAATTTTGAACAATATCTGACGATCCGCCCTTTTAAATGAAACCAGAGCACCTTGACAGAGAGTAGAATGTATAGATGACTCAGCCTGCAACTGAAAATGTGGATTTATAATTTTTTTCCCGTGTCCATTGTCATCTTGTTCCAGTAGCCCATTTCTTATTGCAGTGTCTTGGTTCGTCGATACTTGATGCAGACCTTGTTTGACCAGGCGTTGTCTCAGCTGGTATGGTTCTCTGTTTATTCGCTCTCATCTTATATCATGAGGTAGGACAAACACTGGATGATGTTATAAGCTGTGGGTGAGAATAAAGTTTTATACAGTATATACGGTACGTATATATTTATAGGGGCAGCATGGTGGCTCAGTTGGTAGAGCTTCTCAGCAAGAAGGTCGCCGAATCAAATCATGGCCCGGGAAGCTTTCTGGGTAGAGTTTGCATGTTCTCTCCATGGGTACTCTCCGGGGTTCTCTCCGTGTACTCCGGCTACCTCCCACAGACCAAAAACATGACTGTTAGGTTAATTGATAACTCTAAATTGTCCCTAGGTGTGAGCGAGAGAGTGAATGGTTGTTTGTCTCATTTGTCTCTATATGTGTGGCCCTGTGATGGACTTGCGACCTGTCCAGGGTGTACCCCGCCCCTTGCACTGTGACTGCTGGATAGGAGCACCAGTGACCCCCGCAACCCTGAAAGGAATAAGTAGGTATAGATAATGAATGCATATATATTTTAGCGAGACGCTCTTCTTCCTGATTCCAACCTAGGAAGACAGCTGTATTTCTCTCCGGAGAAACCTCAGCTTTGGCTGAAAATCTGATCCCATGAGCTAATTAGGGAGGATTTCACAGCCAGGGACCCGGCACGCCTGTCGGTGGTTCAAACTCGAGGCTCCAAGCCTCTAAGTGTGTTTTATACCTCCCAATGGGGAGATGTTATATTTTGAAGGAGGAACCAGATACGGCTTGAATTTTTCTGGCTTGGACTGAAGCAAACACAAAGTTACCTGAAAATAACACATGTTCGCCAATGGCCGGTAAGCGAGC